AGGAGCAGTGCCCCCGTGCCTGGGGGAGCTCCAGCTGCAGAGTTCAGGAGGGCCAGTGCCCCTGCACCCTTGGGGGCTGCAGCACTTGCTGCCCTCCCAGAGAAGCCACGGGACCCGAGGCTGGCRAGCCTGGCCAGTCGAATTGAAGCCAAAGGGAAGGAGCAGCCCTTGAAGGACGGCCCTCGGTCAGCCCAGAGCAATCCAGGATCAGCAGCACAGCAAGGCCTGGACRTGTCCTCAGCTGCCAGGGATCAGATTTGCAGAACAGAAGGTGCCAAGAAGGCCCAGCAAACACCAGGACAGTGCAAAGTCCTTCCCACAGCAMCTCTCACGGCTCAGCACGAGGGTGACCAGAGGGGAGCTGTGTCCAAAAGCGATTCCAAAGCCCCCAGTGAAGGAGGTCAGAGCAGTAGCAGTGAGTGGARCAAAGACTCTCGTGGTTTATCAAGGAGACCATCCCAGGAATCACCAGAGAACACAGAATCAAGCTCTGCCAAGAGAAGAAAGATCTTTCCCTGACTACTATCAGCTCATTACCGAAAATCTATTCCCAGATTTCTGTCTAGCAAGGACTGTATTTTAAATTATTTAGCACAACTGGAACTCCCTTATATTGATATCACTATTATGAGCAGATCTCTTCCCCATCCTGTCCCTAATTGTGAAGGGACTTACTACCTGACAGATGGTACCTTGGAGGTTTTGAAAAGAGAAGTTGGGTAGCTGCATTGCTTGGAAGAGCAGAGGGTTTAGTCATCTAGGAAGCTGAGGTTGTAAATGTTTAACGATGTATATTTGTACAGTATACAGAATTATTTTAAGATATTTAGCAAATACATTGCTTCTTGTTTCCTTGTGTAAATGCTGATTTCTTAGAGATGTAATTTTTTATGAAGAACCAGAGTAAAGCAAAACCAAAACCCAACAAACCAACCCCAAAATCCAAAAGGCAGACTTYCTTCCCCTTTGCACTAATATGTCTAATTTATTTCATAGCAAAATTGAATGTTGAAAATGTGGTAGCAGTGGTTCTTCCTCATGYTCCACTGCTGCCTCAGGGAGGAGTGAGGCAGATGTACATTAGTTGAATTGTGAGAATTCTACTTATTTTGTATATTTTATTGCCTGTTTTTATAGGAACAGAAAAGTTTTTGTTTATACAAATGTGCCTTGAGTTTTGCTCTTGCTGCTGCCCCCATCAGTTGGAATCCCTTTCTTGTTGCAGTGGCAACACAATCTGCAGATTAAAGCCTRTGAGGTTTGTTTGGTCCTACTTGTGTCCTTGTGAGGAGGAATCAACAGCACTGTGGAATCTTGAGCCATAATCTAGTTAACAGTTATTGCTAATATTGCTTGGGTTTCTTTGTATGGAGCTTTTGGAGATCTACAGGGATAAAAGGGCAGGTAGGTTTTCCTACATGGTACTACTGAATTCTTTCACTGTGCTGATGAAGAATATGCAGCCACTAAAATAGGACAGCAAAAAAACAAATTATTTTTAAGAAAACCTTCCTCTTGTCATAACATTTCACAATAAAAGTGGAATTGTTTCTACTAAGAATTCCTTTGGGTCATTGTGGAGCATCACTATTTGTTTTCTGGAGCTTGTGTGTGTCTCATGGAGGTGAGGACCAGCATTTCACACGCACTGAGTTCTGTTTGGAGATCAGTGCAGATCTCAGGGAAGGGAGGAGCTGCAGTGTYGGTACCAGCTGGGTGTGCTGGGAGTGGGTCAGGTTGTGCCATGTTCAGGTGTGCTCAGGAACAGCAGGGAAATGTTCCTGTCCCATCATTGACTTCWCCAGTGTTGTTGCAGTGGCTTTACTCGAGCAGATGAGCCACAGTTTGGCCATAATCAGTTCAATTTTCTGTCCTGCTTCCATTGCAGGGATAATTGCAGCTTTATCCTTGGGCCCTGCTACCAGGCAGGGCTGTGTGAGCAGCTCAGGGAGACACCGGTGCCCTACTGTGCCCCAGGGGCTGCTTCAGGCTGTGATCACCAGGAAAACTCACCCCTAATGCATCCAGGCCTGGAACAAACGTGCTTTACTGCTAGGAGCTGCACTGGAGGTGTGTGGGGAGGCTTTTATTGCTGCCTGTCCTGTCCAGCACCTTGTGCTGTGCAGGACTGAGTGTTTTAATGTAACAGGGAGAACCTGGGAGCACCCTGTGAGGTGAGATCAGCATCTGTGCATTGTTCAGCTTTAGTTYTTTGTTTTGTTGCAATCTGAATCTTCCAGTGACCCCTGCCTCCTCCTGGCAGCCCTGTGTGCCCTTCTCCAGCTGCTGTGACTCTTGTGAGGCTGCTGAGTGACTCTGACCTTAACAAACTGGACATTTCAGTCACTCCCCATCACAGACTCCATGCCCTGTGTGATATTTCCCTTTATGTTAATAGGAATATTTAAAAACTGTCATCCCCAAGCCCCTTGGCTCCTGTTGGCAGGGCTGTGCTGCCCTGCCTGCTGTTTGTACTTAGCACATTAAGAGGCTGCTGCTCTGCAAACCCCACGGCTGTGGAAGCCATTTGGACTGTCTTGATGTAAATAAAGCAAAGCTGGCAACAGAATGAAGGAGGAAATGCTTTTCTGGTTATTAAATGCAATTTGGTCATAAGAATGTTTCTCTGAAACTTCTAGTTTTCTTTCTGAATTTGCRTTTCAGAACAGCAGTGCTTGCCATGTGCTGGAAGGAGCTTTAACATTTCATTTTTGTTGTGCTCTATAATGCCTGTATTCTTCCATAATTATCTTTGAGGTGTGTTCAGCGGCTCTGAAAACTTTTTCCTGGTTTAATACCAGATTTATCTGACTTAAGTTGTCAGTCTTCAGCAGGGGATCATTGCTGCCTAGTCAGTCTATATGGTTAGTGCTGTATTTGTTAATAAAAAAAAGCTTGGCTTATTSCACTTAGAACACTTTTCCCTCTTCCACAAATCACTCAGAGTAGSTTTGTAGCTTTAATTAACTTTTTCTCCTTTTGTTTTATACCCATAACACAGAAAACAAAGCAAAATTCAACCCAAAGCACACTTCTCACTGACTCAAATCTGTGATGAGGAACWAAGAGATCAGGTACAATTTTGCTAAATGCTCTGCTGTTCCCACTCTGTGGTGCAAAGTGCTGAGTTGTGATGGGCAGTCTGTGTAAGCTGTGAGTAGAGACTTACTCTAGTCATTTATAACATCTCAGAGCTGGTGGCCCCTGGAGGAGGCTTTTCAGTGGTTACTGAGTGTTGAAGTTGGAAAAGTGAGTAAAAAAAAATTCAACACAACTTTCTGTAAAACACTTTATTGGAGATTGTGCCAAAAACCTTTGGAAGGAGCAGTATCCAGGTTTTTATGCAGAGGCTTCCATGCTGCTTCCAAGCTTGGCAGCTCAAATCTCAGKGCAAAGCCAGTCCCCTCTGTGTTCTTGGGAAGGAGGGAAAGTCTCTTRTAAGTGCTGGGCTCTGTTTTGTTCAGGGGAGCAGGGTGGCAGGGCACTTCTCTCTGTGCTAATTCAGGGAATTGGAATAGCCCCCACCCCTGCTACACGTGGGGGAAGCACAGAGCAGCCTGGGCTTCAGAGCAACTTGTGATTAAATCCATTAATTGGGGCTAAACAACATTCCCAGTCAACATCTGAAAAATAGCGTGCAACCCCAATAATTCCAGAGCTGCCTTTTGCTTTTTGTTTKTCYCTGAAGCATGGTGAGAGGAGAAAGCCCAGCTCCAGCTTTGGCTGCTCTGATCTGTTCATTCACAGCAATTCCACGGTCCTAAGCAGAACCACGGTCCTAAAAATGCAAGACACTCTCTCCATTGTGCATGAATAAATGATGGATGAAATGACTGCTGTGTTGTAAATGGAATTTATAATGTTAATGATATAATACAGTCTCTTGCCACAACGGGTCTCCTTTCTTGTCTTTTTAAGCTGCTTGGAAAGGAGCCCAGTGCCTTATTCTTTAGTGCAAATAAATGTAAGCTAAGCAGCCTTGTACATCGAATATCACTGACATGAGACCTGCTGGCCATATGTAGCTGTCTGCTCAGCCCTTGGCTAATTTGCCACCAACTCCCAGGAAAAGCATGATAGAAATGAAGGTGGTTTGAGAGCATATTACAKCTGGTATTGGGAAAACGTAGAAAACCTGATTTTATAGCCTGGTGCAGCTGTRTGATGTTGCCACTGATTTCATTGTGGCATGAAGCAAGAATTCCCTTTGCTGCAGAGAAATCCCATCAGTTTTCCCTTTGTTTTAACCCCTGGAGTGACAGAGTGGGGTCAGGGTGGAGCTTTTGGAGCCSGGTATTGTTGCTGGCCAGGAGAAAAGGCAGTTACGTGGTGAAAATGGGTGGGTTTAGGCTTTCCTTGCACGTTTCACCCTGCAGTGAAACTTGTTACAACACCTTGAGAATCAAAATGCCAAAGGAGCCTTCAGGAGGGTCTGAAGCTTTTCTCTGCATCTCAAATCAGGCTGTGATTTTTTTTAGCCATTTTCTATGTGATCGTGGCCAAATTCTCCAGCTCACTGCTAGAAGGGCTGAGATGTGGACACAAAGCTCTTCAAAACCGAGCTCTGCTGTTATTTCTGAACACTCAGCTCCTCTTTTATACTTTGTTTTATTTACATTTCATGAGGCTTCTCARGAAAGCCAAGTATTGAGCAGAACAGGGCAGTGAGACCATTTTATTCCCACTAAAAAGCGTTGGTTTTCTTGCTCCTCCAGCCTCTGCAGCACTCCTTACAAATCACTTGCAGATGAGATGTCTGCTGCCTCATCTTTAAAAAAACAACATCCCTGGGAAGTGMCAATGGAATTCTTTTCCCCCCTCCTGTCTCCAGCTCCCAGGAATCATAGGTTTAACATTTTACCTGGCAAGTGAGCAAATGTGCATCAGGAAGGTTTTTGTTGCCTTGGGGATTTTGGTTATTTAGATTTGTCAGAACTCTAAACAGTTAAAATCAGAGTAGGATTTGAGGTAAACAAGAAAAATCAAAAGCTCTACTTGTGCTGTTTGGAGAGGTCACTTTCTGCAGGCAGAAGTGTGATTTAAAAACTTTCTCAAACTAATCAAATGCCGKTGACAGGATGCACATGGAACCTCTTCAAAGAGCATAAGTGGCTTTTCTCAGAAAGAGAAGTACCTTTTGGTTAACCTTTCCACAAGTAAAGCATCAAGCTCATTGGACAACTTCTCCCATTTGGAAGCATTAACTGATGTACAAATGTTTGTGTCTTAAAGCAGATGAACTTTAGGATCTGTGGGTACTTGCAGTGATGGTTTCTCGGTGTTTTTTCAATARTGCTCTGTTTGTGCAGACACCCAGTGCTAACAGATGTCTGCACTTAACAGGGCTTCAGTGCTGAAGCTTTCAGATGCTTTAAGTTGTTTTCTTGAATACCAAGTTTAAGTTTTGTGTGAGATRTTTTCTCTTCTGCCTTGCAGTGGTTTGTATGATTCCAAGTTCTGCAGCATACTGGACTATTCTGTGACTCGAAAACCCCAAACAGCCAACACCCAACCAACCATGAGAAAATCCCCAAACCTGGAAAGCTCTAGTGTAGTTTTCAGCAGCCTTCCCTCCTGGACTGGTCTGAGCTTTGCTGTGCCCTTCTGAGGTTATTTTCTGCAGGAATTTGGTGCTTGGCACGTTCCTGCAATAAAAGTGTGTGTTTGCAGGGAATCTGCTGGGTGCAGAGTTTGTCTGCCTTTATGAAGTAGTAAATTTTCTGTTGCTTAATCTAATATTCTAGAGARAAACACCAATACAGGGAAAGGAGAATGTTGCTTCACCCTCCTGAAGTGCCATTAGAGATCTTGATCTTGTTACAGTCTTTGCTATTACTTGTAAAAATGGTAATATACAAGGATTTTAGGTCTATTGCAGCCAGAAAATACCTCTTCTCTTGTCTCTGGTTTCTCTTGCCTTCATTTATGTGCTTGACTRTAAATGCCTCCTCAGACAGGAGCACGTTGATGAGCTTTAATGAGTTAATATAATCCCTGTGAGCTCAATATTGCTRCTTTAAAATACATTTTCTGCAAAGGTGCGTCATGGCACCAGCTGTAGGTGTGGGGGGCTGCAGTGGGGTTGGGGCAGCTGAGGAGAAGCATCCCTGGACCAGCCAGCCTTTTCCTGCTGCAGGCTYGTTGGGAAATGGCCTTTCCACACCAGACCAGTGCTTAATACATCACTCAGACTTTGTTCATTGTCTACAGTTAGCAGTCTAACCTAGGCTCAGCAAAGTAATTAGGAGAAATAATTAACAGCTCTCGGTGATGAGGCAAMCTCTCTCTCTCCCTCCCCTCTCCCTCACCATGTGGTGCACCTTGGTTGTGGCTCAGAAAACACAAGAGGACATCATGAATCCAAAAATAAGTCTTTACCTGTAATTAACTGTGCACACAAAAAGGAAAACGTGGTGATCAAGCAGCCATTAATAGTTGCTTTACTGGAGGAGGATACACCGGAATCAAATGCTCATGGCAAAATGTCCCTTTAGGTTGTGGTTCTGTTATAACATTTAATCCAAACAAAAATAAGTCTCTACCAAAAGAAGTATTTGACCCGTACACCATACGGACGTGTGTGGGTAAGACACTGCACTCCTCGCSTTCCAAACGCCTCACGGCCCCTGTGCTCTCCCTAAGTGCAAGGAAACAAAACCCAGCCATGAAAATACAAAATCAATGCAGCAACTACAGTCGTAGGCAACGGTATGTGCGTGGCCAGGCCCATGGTGGGATGTGGGACAATGCAGCAGGGATGGGCCGGAGTCCCCTCTCCCCTCCCTCCCCTGCYCTGCCTGTCGCGTGGTGGGACACTGAGATGTCATGACATCTTCCAAAACAGGTCGCTAAGAGGAGGGAAAATAAAAAGAACACCCCAGCCTATACCAAAGTAAATAGAGTAATAAAAAAAACTCCCTTGGATCGCGGCACCGTTTGCCCAGGGCCCGACTCCCTGACGGAGTCCCTGGACGGATGGACGGACGGACGGACAGGCCGTGTCCTGGCACAGGTCCCCGTGTCACCGCCCGGCCCCTGCTCGGTGCTGGGACACCCGGCTGGCTCCGTGGGCAGCCCCTGCGTACCTCTCTGCTTGGAAAGTGGACYGAAAGAGGCTGTGCAAGTCCTAGCGTGAAGGAAGGCGGAGGAGGCGGTGGGGACAGCCACCCGTCACCTCAATGTCCCCAGGTCCCTCGGGTGACGCGCCCGGGCTGGGCTCCCTCTGTGCCTCACAGGTCCACCCAGGCACGCAGCTGCAGGGCCAGCACCCCCATGGCCACGGTGCCCAGGCTGCCACCGGCACCGGCAGCACCGTCACAGTCCTTTTTGTCCACTTCACACCTGGACTGCTGGCACAGGACSCCCTTGAAGCCCACGGGGCAGATGCAGCGCTGGTTCTGGTAGCAGGTGCCGCCGTTCTGGCAGAGCAGGAGCTCGTCATCGCACACATTGGCTGCGGGGAGAGAGGCAGAGATATGGGTGTTATCCCAGAGGGTGTCAAACCCCTTGGTTGCAGCAGGAACTGGAAGCTTTTGAGCGCCTGGTGTTAAATTATCCATCCCTCCCAGTGCTAGAGGAGTTCCATGGCCAGCAGAATGCTGTAGAGGCGTGCAAACTCCACAGGCAAAGCTACAAAATCATTTTAGATTCGGGAGGAAAGGCCGGAATCTGCTCACCCTGTACCCTGAGCATCACAGGGCACTGAGCCAGCACTGCTGAAGATACCGCTCCTTTCTGTGCCCCCTCACACCTCCCCATGCCCTGCAGACGGTACTCACGGAAGCAGCCCTGTCTCCAGTAGTAGTTGGGCAAGCAATCRTCGCATTTGGGCCCCGTGGCACCTTCCTTGCACTCACAGTAGCCGGTCTCGTTGCAGCGGTCGTGCAGGGAGCCGATCTGGTTGCAGTTACATTCTGGAGGCATTCAGAGACAGGCAGGTCAGTGCATGCAGTTCCCTCAGGGAGGGGCTGTGGAACGTTATGGATTTGTGCTGTGGAAGAGAGCTGGGAGCACACAGCGGCCTGAGAGACCCTGACGCTGTAAACAGCCATGGGTGGAAAGGCCACCCCTGTTTGGAGCTGAGCAATGCTTCTGAATCCAGTCAGAACGGGTTTTTTTTACTGTGAGGGTGGCGAGGCCCTGGCATAGACAAACTGTGGCTGCCCCTGGATCCCTGGAGGTGCCCAAGGCCAGGCTGGACATTGGGGCTGGACACCCCAGTGTCCCTGCCATGGGAGGGGCTGGAACAAGATCATTTCCAACCCAAACTGTCCTGTGATTCTAAGAACCCCTGGATCCCTGGAGGTGCCCAAGGCCAGGCTGAACTGGGCTTGGAGCACCCTGGAACACTGTGTGGTGTCCCTGCCATGGGAGGGACTGGAACAAGATCATTTCCAACCCAAACCGTCCTGTGATTCTAAGACATTATTCAGGCTTTATTTTCAGGGGAAACTGCTCCAGCTGCCATCCTTGCTGGGCACACAGGTAAGCCCAGCACCGCTCGGGAAGGGCTGAACGAAGCCCAGCGRAGTGCGGAGCCCYGAGGCGCTGTCCCCAGGCTCACCTATGCAGACATTCTCATCGTCCAGCTCGGCAGAGCTGTTGCGGTAGAAGCCCAGGCGGCAGTGCTGGCAGTGCTGGCCCCTCGTGTTGTGCTTGCAGCTCACGCAGGTCACCACGTTCAGGAAGTCGATGTAGCTGCAGCGGTTGGAGTGGCCGTAGCACTCGCAGTCTGCGGAGCAGAGGGGACACAGTGGGGACACAGTGGGGACACAGTGGGGACACAGTGGGGACACAGAGGGCCAGGAGTGCCTTCCCTCGCTGGGAGAGGGAGAGGAGCCACCAGAGGGTCCTGCTTGGGTTGGGCTGGGCAGGGTGGATCAGGCTGGAAATCATCACTCAAGAGAGCAGAGCAGGATCAGGGTCYCTGTCCCCGCGGGGGGACAGGCAGGAGCCAGCCCTGCATTCCCGGGACGTGGTTTCTTCCAGGAGCTGCATAATCACGGGAGCAGGCAGTGGAGGGAGTCAGGTATTAATTACAGAGCTCCCTGTTTAATGAGCAGAGCTCCGTGCCTGGGTTTGGCTCTTGGGTGGCTGTAGGACCTGTGAGAAGCTGGGCTGGGTTGCAGAGCCCTGGCTGGGGGACAGGGGGGACTGTCCCATGGGATGGAGCTGGCACAGGGTGCTCAGGTGGAGACAAAGCTGCTGCGTGTCCAGTGAAACCTCACAGCCCCTCTGGCTCTGTCCCCTCGGTGTCCCTTCTCAGCAGGTGCCTTCCTGTTTTACCTTCCTTTTGTGAAGGTTAAATGTCTAAAATAAGGCTATGGAAGGCAGTGTGGCCCGTGTGGGATCTTTCAACAGCTGGTGGACATGTGTGTGAAGGTTTGAGCCAGGGCTTGCCTGGCACAGCACAGTCTGTAAAGGCTGCTACTGGGGTGGGAGATGCCACCATCACTTGGCCAAGTACCCCTGTCCCCAGGGCTGACCTCTCCCAGCTGTGGGTGAGTTTAAAGACAGGGGATTGGATTATTACTGGATTATTCCTGTGTTTGTTTTTCATTACCGTGGTGTCACCTTTGGGATGGTGACAGCTTTGCAGGGTCAGATCCAGGTGCTGGATCTCACAGGGAGTTTTTTTCTGTATGTGTTTATGTGCTGAGATGTGCAGCTCAGGAGGAAAGGAGGCGCCTTGTGGCCCAGCTGGCCTGGCCAGGAGGTTCCCAGCCATCGAGGGCAGGGGATGATGATGTGAGCAGAAACAGTCTGAGCCAGGTCTGAGCTTTCCCAGCCTTCAGAGGGAGGAGGGAGGCTGGGAGCTGGGGCTTTGTTCCAAGCAGAACATGAAACATTGAGGGATGGCAGAGGGTGGCAGGGAGGGYGTGGGCTGGCATGCACATGCGGCTGCAGGAGGAGATGTGATGAGTGACACAATGACCAGGGAAGATGGAGCAGGGCAGAGGTTTCCCCTCGGTTCACAGCTGCCTGAGGAGGAGCTGAGAGTCTCTTGTAATCTCAACCCMCTGTGAAAGAACTTCTGCCTCATCAACCGCTGTCCAAAGAATTCCAGCKCAAATTCTGGCTGCTGCAACTCCCAAGTGTTGTTTCAGACAAGGGAAGCACTGCTACACCCAGGTAACAGCTCAAACAGACCCTCCCCACCTTCCCCACATCCGAGCCTGCAGGATCTCATCCCCTGAGCTAAGCCAGGGAGCCCTGCAGCGCTGTCTTCCCTCCGCTTACCTCTGTAGCTTTCAATGGGAGCCACGGGGCCAGAGTTTGGTTTGAGCCGGATGAGTTTTGAGCTCTTTGAGGAYGCTTGAGAAAAATCAGAGTCAGGCTTTTCCTCCCTGTTTAGCACCACCTCTCACCCTCCCCTGCCACGAGAACAATGCCAAGCCAAGAGCACTGCTGGCATCTATTTCTGCACCAGACAGCTGGGAGCTRCTGCATTCCTCCTCTTTCYCTCCCCTCCTCRAAGTTTACTGCACAAAAAACTCAATACAYGAAATACTCAATGCACTAAAAACTCAACGCACTAAAAACTCAACAAACAACGCTATTGCAGAGCTGGGAGGAGCTACTCACACATGCCCCTTTGTGAGATGTTGGTGGCATGGTYTGGGTTGTTTGGGATAAGGATCTACAACTTACAAACCACATCTACTGGCCATGGGCTCCGGCTGACGGAGGTCACACCAGCTGGCACCCAAAAATCCACGAGGAGGGCAAGTGCTAGGGAGGTGGCATCTGGCAGGGGTTCTACAGGGTCSTGCAGAGCAGGTGCTGCCCCAGCCYGGCCCRTCCCCAGCAGCTCGTACCTKTCTTCTTGCCGTACTTCTTGCCTGCAGAGTGTGCTGTGCGCCCTGGTTTGCTCTTCGGAGCCGCTACGCCGGAGGATAGAACAGGTCTGAGAGCTGTGCTGGGGAGAGGGCTCCCAGGGCCAGCCAGGGCCATGTTTATCATGTTTTCCATGTTTTCTCAGGGAAAAGGGCTGTCCCAGCTGGATGRGGGTCTCTGGGGGTTGTGCTGCCAGCCAGACCCCCGTCCCACGCAGAATGACCCAGCACTGGGGGTAAAATGGCCTTGGGAGGTTTTGTGTTTGGGGAGCCCAGTGAGGGGCAAGGTTGAGCACTGAGGTCCCACAGGGGGTTTGGGTTCCCCTGTTTTTTGTGGAGCTCAAGCCCTTGCAAGCCCTGGGTGGGCACTGCCAGCTCCAGTGACATCCACTGCCAGCTCCAGTGACATCCACTGCCATCTCGGTGACATCCTCACAGGACAGTGATGGCAGGAGGTGGCCGTGCTCCCCATGGACTCAGCCATGGTCAGAACCTGCCCGTTGCTGCTTCCAGCACCATCCCTGAGGCTGCCATGGTACTGGGCCCTGCTGGTCTCCATGGCTTTCCCTGGCCCCAAACATCTCCAAAAAAAAGTCCATGGGGCTGGATGAGCAAAACTGAGCCAAGATGGACCCTCTGAGCAGRAGATTGGGTTGTGCTGAGGACAGGTGGCTGTCCTGGCCTGGGGCATGAGGGACAAACCTGCCCTGTCCCAGCTTTGGGGACAGGCCTGGCCTTACCTCGCATGTTCTCGGGAGGCTCTGGTGGCTTCAGTTTCCGTCCGAGYGCTGCTGTGTTTGGGTGTCACCACGGGTGGCATCAGAGAGAACGGCAGATTTAAAACAGACCCTYCTGGTGTGCTTAGGAAGGTGACAAAGGGACACGGGGAGCTCTAGGCAGCTGTCTAGGCTGGGTTGGCAGAGCCGCATCGGGCTGAGGATGTGCTGAAGCAGGAATGAGACAAAGTCTCCTGAAAATCAGCGTCTCTAAGAGTGAAGAGAGGCAGGGAAAGGATTCCCAAGGGGAAGGTGTGGGAGCTGCCCGCTGGCTGAGCGTTGGCACATGGTCCTGACAGTGCCCAGGCATGGAGAGAGGCCAAATCTGTGGGACAGTGTCAGGGCTCACAGCCCCTCCTGGTCAGCACAGACTGTCACCACCGCTGGCTCCATGGCCTCGGTGTAGCCCTGTCCCTGGTCACTGCACCAAAGGCCAAGAGGCCAGAGAGCCCAGGACACTGTGATCTGCAGGGAGGGATGCTAAASGCTASAGCKGGAGCGAGCTACAGGAATCTCRGGTGGGGAACGGGGRCTGAACTGCCTGAGCAYGTCTGAGGTGGCACCTGAGCAGGAGAAACTTCACCCTCAGCTGCCAGYGAGGAACCTGCCGAGGCTCCCAACTGGAGCAGCTGAGGCAGTCACAAGGAGATGCTTTGGAGGGATCTCTGCTCTAAAGGACACAGGTCTATCCACTGCAGGGAGATTCTGTGCTCTACAAACAGCTCYGCTCCCAGGAAGTGGCAGGATTTCCATGATCCTCCCCGTTCACCCCAGCAGCAAGCTGCCAGTGATCCCTTCCACTGCTCACCATCCTTCATGGACCTGGCCAAACCCCGAGGCTCAGTGCAGCCTCACCGGATTCCCAGCTGGGAGCAGGGCACAGACAAGCCCTGAGCTTTTCCCCAGCAGGAAGAGGAGGAGAGAGGCATGGAAAGCACAGACTTAGAGCTAGAAACTAAAGCTGGCAGGACSCAGCTCAGCCAYGTGGCTCCTACCTGGCTCCTTGGCYGGGGGAGAGCCCACCTGCAGYGGGGCAGCCGCCGACAAGCCGGGGTAGTCTTGCAGCGATCGAAGGGAAAATTGTGTTACTGGAGGAGCTGGAACCCCACCAGGAGCCCTGCAGCATTCCCAYGGGAATCAGAGCCCCAAACCCAGCACCCAGCCCTGTGCCACTGGGGTTTTTGGGCAYCAGAGGGGCTGGGGAGCCCTTGGATTGTGAGGGGCAGCGTGGGGTGAGCTGTCAGTGCTCAGCCCAGCTCAGCACACAGGGCTTTGCTCTGTTTCCATCAGGACCTGCATCCTCTGCTCTGAAATAACAGCTGAGAAACAGCCCAGGTGTCCTGGGATGGAGGCACCAAGCCCTGGTTCCCAATCCCAAATTCCAAACACAAATTGAAGAATTTCCAATCACCGTAGAGAAGTTCAACCAGCAAGAAATTTTATACCTCACTTGTTTGGTTTCCCTGCAAACCGTCACCCCCAGTGGCTCCATCCCCCCTCCCTGGCTCCTCAATATTGGTAACAATCTTCAGGTTTGCTAGAAAACAAACCAGGGACTAAAAATTTTAAAAGCCATATTATTAATTTCAAGCTCCAGTTGGGTAACATAAGGAGGAGGAGGAAAAAAAAAAAAAATCTCTTGATCCTTGCCAAGTTTCAAAGGACAAACCCGAGTAGGAGAGAAATGTGATTTCCCAGCCTCGTCAAGGGGATGATAAACAAWAMAGAATAAAAATGAAAAAAAAAAAAGATTATTTTTTTAATGACAAGYGCTAAGAGAAGGTGATAGACATTGTCCTTTTCAGCTGGAAAGTGGAAACCAATTGATATTAATACAGTGTTAAAGAGAATATGAAAAAAATCCCTGTGCAAATTGGCAAGGGTTTAATTAGAGTCACAATAAAAAACAGCCCTGGAGGCATTTTGCTTTTTAGTCATTCACATACACCTCCACTCAATCACATTTACAGAGCCAAGAAAATTATTAATGCTCATTATCCTGAGAACCTTTCCCTTTGTAGCTCTGGGCCATCATGGACAGTTTTACATTTYGGAAAGGGGAGAGAGATGCATTTTGCCCCGGACCCACTTCATAAAAATGGGAAACGATGGGTGGCTCTGATGGAAATTGCTGCTCTTGGTGGGTTTCTGAGGAAYTGGAATAAATTCAACCAGAAAGTCACACTTCATGGCAAAAACCATTGGAGGAATGGGGGAGAACCCTGAAAAGTCCTTCTCAAAACAGAAACACAGGATCCCCTTCCTGCAGGACCTCCCCAATGCCAGGAGCTCACTTTCTGTTGGAGTTCATCACCACCCAGCAGGGCTCCTGCTTTTCCCAGAGGTGAAAATTCTGCTGGAACTGCCATGAACCAGAGGGAGGAAAATTGAAGCCGGGAGAAAAAAAGAAAAAGAAAAGAAAAAAAA